TATAGAGAATATATGGAAAATAATTGTGTTGTTTCAGGTCTTATGGCTAATAAGGTTGAGTTTTTTTAGATTCCTTTTAGGTTTTAGGGATCTCAGACTTCCCAACATATCACCTCATGCTCTAACCTGCTATGAGAATGCCTTTGCAGACAACCTTCAGAAAACAATACCAGCTTGGTACTGTTTGGACAATTGAGGGAACTGAGGATTATGTCAAGATCTAGAGGGCCTGGGAAAGGGGGGACCCTGAAGTTTCTAATCACCTGCCTTCAGCAGCAGACCTCTTTACATGGATACTCTATCTATACCCATTTTTCAATGGACTAATATTTCCATTCCCTCTAATTCTCCCAATCCCAGTGATACTTAATTCACCATTTTTGAAGAACAATCTCCTTGCCCTTACCCCAATTCGGAACCTGAGGAATTCAATGCCTGGCTCAAAATTTCTCTACCCCTAAACTTGTTTTTACATTAGAGGATATGTGTGTTGATAATCTCTCAAATACCTTAATTTTTCAGTTCCTCAAACAACTCAACTCCTGTGAATGAATCCTTTCAGCTACATGCACAGATGGTCATACAATCTTACCATCACACATGTGTGCCCCTTCCATGTCCAAGAACTCCACAATTCAATTTTCTAATAGCAATCTTTTATCATTCCATCTCTATCTGTTTTACTTTGTCTAAACATATCAGTTGTCCTCTTCATGACTACTAAACCTTCTGCTGCTCAATACTTTCATAGATATCATCCTTACTGTGATGTTATTCTCTTCCCTTGAAAAATCTTCATCTGTTAAAAAAAAAATCTGTGAAGTCTAAACCAACTTCTTATTCCCTTGCCCATCACTGCTGACACCTTTCCAAAGTCCAAAGCTGGATTACTCCTATCATCTGCTTTTTTTTTTTTTGCTCCTGCCCATAAGGTTATTAATGAAGGTGTTTGTTGATGTCATGAACCATGCTGATTGGGCCCATTATACATATATGCTATTTAAACTCCCCTTGGGAGCTTGTTGCAACAAAGCAAAATTTTGGCATTTCCCTTACCAATTCTGAATCTCAGTTATTATTGTGGCTACTCCACACCTTCTTTTATCACCTCCAGCCCCACCCAAACTCCACACATTCTCTCTCTCTCTCTCTCTCTCTCTCTCTCTCTCTCTCTCTCTCTCTCTCTCTCTCTCACTCTCTCTCACTCGCTCGCTCTCGTTCTCACTCTCTTTGTCTCTGTTTCTATCTCTCTGTCTCTGTCTCTCTGTCTCTGTCTGTGTGTCTCTCTGTCTCTGTCTCTCTCTGTCTGTCTCCCTCTCTCCCTCTTTCTCTCCTGAACATCTCACCTCATGCTACACCAAAAGAGGTCATTTGCTCCTTCCATTAAAAAAAGCTTTTTGCTTTCTTGTCATTTGCCAATGCATTTTCTTATTCCTTTCTCTTCATCTCACATCCCTTTCATATCATCCCCTATGTCCTCCTTCACTTTCATCTCTAATGGCACATCTCCTTGCCAAGGACAATCCTGCTCCATGTCTGGCATGGTACATATAAATATATCTATATATAGTCTTCCGTGCTGTGTTGAGTGATCCTGAATATTAGTATGGTTATCAGGGATGTGCTTTGACCCACTGCTCAACTAAATCTGAGGTATTTTATTACAAATCATCTTATTGTAAATGATAGTATCTTAAAAATGTTGTTTTCATTATTTTTCAATTATTTTAGTTCCAAAGTCTAACCCAGATATATAAGTTACTTTATTTATGTGGGACCTTGTAGAAGTTACCAATTCATAAGATCCTTTTGGCTAAGGCATTTTTCTGTCAACCTTTTACTCATCCATTCAGGCTGGTTAAGATTCAGTTTTAAAATTTGGACACATCAAGACCAGCCACACTCACTACAGAAAATTGCATATTGAATAACTATTTGACTGATTAAGGTTGACTATCTGTTGTGTAATGTTGATAAGCACTATCAGCATTTTCTCTAACTGAAATCAAAGTCAATCCTTAGAGTTCATCTATAATCTAATGTAATGAGTCAAATTTTAATTTGAGCTACTGCTGTTATTTGTTTGGCAGTCAATAGTTAGAAGAACTGAAAAAATTAGAAAAGTGAGTAAAAGAAAGCATTTTCAGTTTTCATCATTAAACAAATATAATAAATATCATAATGCTTTTATGTACCTCTAGAAAAAAAGTTTATCTTCAATATTTGTGCAATAATTTGTTGAATATTGAATACAAAGGAATAATAGCAAGGCAACAATTTATCTTAATACTGTTTCTTTCTGAATCCCATGGAAACAGATGAAAAGAATGACAGCAACATCATTGTCATCACTGCCATATGTATACCACTTTGAATCTTGCAAATGCTTCACCTACATTATTGCATTGAGTTCTTAAAACAATTTTTATGGGTAGTACATATATTATTACATTCATTTTACATATTAGGAACCTGAAGAACAGAAAGAGATTAAATGACTTGCCCAAAAATTGGACAGCTAATAGTTGACCTAGTTGGTTTCAAAACTAGGATTTCTGATTACAAATGCAATATTCTTCCCACTAGACCACAGCAGTCTCTGTGTAGTATAGTGTGCCTGATGTTTAAAAGACAATGCTAGACACACAAAAGTAATTTCATAAATACTCATTGATTATCATTTCTCCTTTCTCTGTTCCCTTTTCCAGACTATGATCATGGAGTAAACTTCTAATTGTTAGGGCCAAATGAAGGACTGCAGGAGAAAAATCCAGTTTTTAGTGGGTCTACAAAATTTGAATCATATCTTAATTAATTTAGCGATAGCCTATCTCCTCCACTATTGTTACAACTGCTTTATCCTTCGCTGAGTGCAATAGCTTGGCAGTAAATATAAAGAAATAAGAAAGGGAAAATGTTTATAGCTGATTATATTTTTTAAATTCTATAAACTTACTTAATTTCTGTCAGCAATTATTTATTTTACTATATTTATATTTAGATAATTTGAAATTTATAAATCCACATACAGTAAACTCTCCCAGAATGGTCTGAAAATTGATTTTCCTTGTAGTCTTTATTTTCAATTTTTAAAAAATGATTAATCACTTCAAAACAAAGAATGCCATATATTAACTTTTAAACATCAAAATTCATAAGTGGTATTTGTTTGCTCCTTTAAAAGTCACATTTAAATGAACATCTGCCATTTGTCTTTTTAAATCAAATTCTTCTATTTGGATAGTCTGCCTACCAATAATACCTTATTTGTGGTATAACTATACCAGTGAGATCCCTAAGTATATGAAAAAAAAAAGTCCATTTCACTTTGCTTTGCTGATGTGATTTAAAACTCTGACCCAATCAACACATGCATACACATAAGTTACTAATCTGAAGGGGCAGAATGTTGACTCTTCTCTCTGCACTGACTTTGGGTAGATTTTTTTTAATGACAAACATAATGTTCACTATTATTGAGATTAAAAAATAAATGGACTAATAAAGATGTTTCTTGGTATCTGCCCTAAACACAGATGCAAATTTCTTTTTTTTTTAATTATTCTTTACATCAAGTAAATTATGTGACATGGGGTGGAGATAGAGATACTGACCAGCTAGAGAACAGAAAGTGGATTTGCTATATAGTATGTTTCATTTTCTTCTGAATATATGATGAGACTCTGTAAGTGGCTCAGCAGGTAAGCTGAGGTTTACAGGCACTATTTAAAAATGGAATGGCATTAGTTATTTAATCTTTGGACCCAAAATGAATTTCTTGTTTGATGCTTTTAGAGAGGCATTAACTAGTTTTACACCCTGTCTTATTGAAAGGAATCATTTCTTCCACAGTGAACAGCTGTGCTTTCTTCCTCCTCCTACAGTGCTTAGAAATCCCAGTTAGATATTGTGTAAAGATTGCAAGGAGTTCTTCATCCTTAATGATCAACTATTTACTATGTTGCCCTCTTTTTGGTGAGATGTGTGCTTGATTTTTTATTTACCAGATCTAAAACTCGTATCAATAATGCACCTATCTATAGTAATTGCATATATCTGGAATAGTAAATATACTGTGGCTAATGATTGTGCATTGAGTAAATACAATTTTGGTAAGTTGTGAGGATATGTGCTTTCTTTACTCTGGATATTTGAATACTTCTTTCTTCTCTGAAATTTTAAGAGGGGAAATTAATTTGCAAGTTTCAGAATATTAAGGAAAAGTATTCCAAACATACAAGAAAAGAAAGAATGAGAAAAATAAATTATTATTATTATTATTACCTTGTATGAACCTTGAATGCTGTGGTTTGATTTTTTTACCCAAACTAAATGAAAATTAATGCCCATGCATTAAGCCAAGGAAATATATGCCAGTTCCTTAAAATATTAAACTCTTGCCTTCTCAATGATATGGTCTTGCCCTTTTTCTCCCTGCCTTCCAAAGAAAGTATGTCACTTTTATCAATCCTTCTTCTCATTTGACAAGACACTGTTTCACCCACACTCTTAGACCACTACCTCCTCCCTAAAAGAAGTAAAGTCCCCCGAGTCTGTAATTGCCAGGAGATGAAGCGATGATAGGGAGTGATCACAGTCAATAGCTTTGATTAACAATAAGGTAGAAAATTAGCAATGCTAGCATTCAGCTAGCCTGCCTTCTCTTCCCCATATGCTCCCCACAGCCTGTGCTAACTGCTGCACAGGAGGTAGTCAGAGCCCTGCACCAGCTTTGCATTACAGCAATGGTGCAGTAAAAGACTATTAGGGAAATCCAAGAGTGACTAGGAAAAGGCCACAGAAATTGTAAATGATGGCACTGAAATTTTTACAGAGCTTGATATGCCACAGAAGGTGCGAGGATGAAGTATGCTGTATGTTGTCCCTGTGTGTCTTTCTGGTATATGTGGATTTACTTGTGTCTGGACATATTGTGATCGAAATGGCAACTACTGTTACTACTGTGACCCCATCAGCAGCTCTGGTGTTGTTTCCGACAGACTCTGAAGACCTAGAGAGGGGGACGGACAACGGGACACCACTCCCCACCTCTGATAATGATGACAATTCGCTGGGCTACACAGGTAGAGTGTATTTTTCCAAAATATTAATAGCCCCATCTCTCTTCAAACTTCATCAGCCATCAACCACCTGTATAAAATTATTTAACCATCCCTACTGCTAACTAGCTCCAGAAAGAAATTGTGTTGTGATGTTTATGCTTTAAAATTCATCCAATAACCTGGAAATAATGATGCTGAAGGAAACTATTTTGAAAAACTACAAATGAAAGCTATGTTTATTGTTAGCATTTGTTTTTGTAACTTGAAAAACAAATGTTGATCAGGACAAAGCTTTTTTTTAATGCAAATATGTTTGTGAGAATAGTAATTTGTAACAGTTCATGAAAATCTTTGATTAAACTGGAGCAAATAAGAAAAGGAAAAGATTTTTATTAAGAATCATTTGCTTTCAAATCAAAGTCATTTGTATATTTCTTATTTGTTGCACTACATACTAACATCTTAATATTGTTCTTTGCATGACTAATATATCCTCTAAGTGATACCATATCCATGAACCACCTCTGAAATATGTATGTACACACACATACACATATGTGCACATATATATAACAAATTAACTCACTGAGTGAATTGAAAAACTCAACTAAATGTCTTTAAAATGAACACGTATGAAAGTGATATGTTTACTTTTCTATGAAGTGTTTTTTCAGTACAATGCTAAAAGTAAATGGGAAATAAGACAAACTTCAATTATTAATTTAGATGTGGATAAACCATAAAATGCCTTTTGTAACTAAGTGTATGATTCAGAAATAATAATATCACAGTCCTGTTGTTAGTAACAAACCATATTTATTCCAAAATTATCCTGATATACTTTTCGTAAGTACTTCTTGGAATAGTTCTCCATAGATTGGATAGCAATGAGAAAGATAAAGGGTCATTACTAATATTACTACTATTATTCTGGTAATCATATGAAATATTTAAAGAGAGAAGCACAATGGCTAGATTTTACTTGAGAACAAAATAACAATATTATTTTAGAAACATCTTTGTTCCCTTCATAGAAATTATCTCAATTTCCCTCTTTCCCTCCCACTCAAAAGTTGAGGCTTGAAACACTTGATGTCATGTACCAAATAAAATACTTCATGTATTTCTTTGTGTACACTTTTTTCTTTTCTACAGATATCACCATTTCTCACCCTTTTTTAGCTTTTCTTCCAAAACACAAACTGAATTTTCATTTAGGGAAAACATTCTGCAGGTCTTAAACTAGAATCTTCAGAAGTTCTGAATTCTACTTCTTAATACTATGATTATAAGATAGCTTCATATTGGTAGAAGTATGAATCAAAAACAGTATTATTCCTTACACATATTTTGATATCCCTATATATTAACTAATCTAATTTGTGTTCTTCTATTCTGAACAACTATACTGTCTAGTCACATTCAAAATATTTGTCCTTTCACTGTTATGGGATGTCCACAACTCGCATGTGGGCAAAGTATAATAGAATTAAAACAGCTTAAAATTGTATTAAAACCTAAAAGTAGCCTTTTCTTTATTGCTATTTATCTTTTTATGCTTTTTTGTCATTGCATTTAGTTCATTGAAATGGGATCAAACAGTTTTCAATATTTATAATCTTAAAAATACAAAGAATAGATTTATTCCTTCCAGGTAATGAACTTATAAAACTATCTACTCAATATTCTATCATGTGACTTATTTAAAACAAGGCCAATTTATGTAATGTGATTATAAAATAACATTATAAATTACCCTGTACCTGAGGCCAGTAATTATTTATGATAGGCCAATAGTAAAAAAAAAAATGTTTATTGAGTTTATTCTACCATAGTCAATTCTCAATTATTCAGAGACTGATTGTACCAGTGTGAGTTGTCCATGCCCTATCTTTCTTCTTCTCTTCCTTCTTTTCTTAACCATTTCTTTTCTCATTACAACCTCCAAAAGAATAGATAGTGAAATGAAATAGTGATTAAACTTAAACTGCTTTCTTTCTTTTTGGAAGGTGGAAGAGTGGAGCTACCCCTTACAATTACAATAAAAGATACAGAACTGATTATGAGATGATACTATTTTGTACAAGTGCTTCTGAGTTTCTGTAAATTCCATTTCCTAGGAGAACCTTTTTAACTATACTCATAAATGATTGAGTTGACACTATCTGTGTAGTACAGACCATATAATGGCTCATTGACAAGAGTTGGGGATAATTGGCAGTATATATGGTTGGGTACATTGTTACTTACTTATTTAAAATAAGAGTTTTTAATAAGTCACCACGAATATAGCAGCAACATAACAGTGCTTAAATTTAAAGTTTGTAATGAACCAGCAAATACACAAACCAGTTGTTAGATCTATGATATTAGTTAGCCATAATGGCAATGGTTCGTGAAAACTAATTTTTAAAAACACGGAAATTCTGCTCACGTTTCTTTACTCCTAACATAAGCTTATGGAACTTACATATTTTACCTACTTTTCTGTAAACATTATTTCCTTTCATAAATCTGACATTTGAGATCTTTCTTGCTGTCCTTCTCCCCCAGAGCTTCTACCATAATGGTTCATAGATTCCAAAGGCAAAAATAAAAGCCTCCCAGAGGTATCTTTTCAAACTAAAACAAACATCATCCCAATCAAGAAAACCTGACAATACCCAAAAGAATAATTTTAAGACTTTGCCAAATGCTATATTCATTCTGACCAGTTTTCCTTTCAGCTTGATCATTACAAGTGCGTCTTTTTCACAAGTTTTTTTTCACTACAACACATGCTATAGTCACTATAAGGCAAATGTAACCATCCAGATAAAATCCATAGGTCTCATAACAAGTATATTATTTTACAATTACATGTAAATGCCTTAATTCTTTCTATTAAGGCATTAATACACCTTAATCAACAAATGTCAACTTATAAATTTAATTCTTCATTGCTTTTGTTCATAATTTTAAAGTAATATTTACAAAAATTTCATCAGTATTTACATCATGCCTATACCTAGGTGAAATTTCATGTAGAGGGACCAGGAGGAGTAATTTTTTGGTGATTTAGAGTAGAAAGTAAAGATTGACCCCTTCCCCACATACACACATATTCATCCCCCTATCACCACCTAGAAATATGGTACTCTGAAAGCTGAATGGCATTAAAGTGCTGCAGTATCACTTAGTAATCAATGATTGCAGAGATTTCTAAGATGGTGGTGTGATGTTGCTGAGGTATATTTGTATATTATCTAAAAGCAAGTAACACATTTCTTGGTTGATGGTCCATAGCATACAGCTTCAGCTGCAAAGACAGGTAACTTTTTGAACTATTATTTTATAGGGTCAAAATCTTTTCCAAAAATCCCATAATAATTATTAATCAATGGAGATATTTTTAAGCAGTCTTTTTTTAAATAGCACATTGCTTATAGGTTGCTGCTAGTGTACATATTTACCAATATGAGGAGGTGGGTGAAAGGTGTTGGTTTAAACACCTAAGATCTATTTAAATGTCAGGAGTATAGCTATGTTCTCTTTATAGACTGTGTTCAAAATTTTTGTTTAAAGGAAAAAAGTGGAAAAAGTGTTGGATTCAAGTTGGTATTGACCATGGGAGGAAAGGGAAAACTAAAGATAGAAAGGCACTAGAGAGTCCTGATGTCACACTCCCGCTGTGGAGAAGTGTACACATGGCCTCAAAATCATCAGCCTGTAAGATGTCTAACAATCTCAGAATGAAGTATCATAACTATCAATTACTTTTGAGTCCTTTCTCCTTCCCCTAACCCCTGCCACCCTTGCATAGGGCATATACCTGGTGGTATGGTAGGCATTTGTTTTAGATTGTACTCCTTACATGTTTCATACTAACTAAACATTTTAGGTTTGATTATAATTTCTATTCATTCTGCTGCTGCTAAACCTTGGAGAAATATAATCTAAGAAAATCAAACTCTGTATACAGAACATATAATACTTTATACTTATCTCCAGAAGGTGATTTTAGTTGATACATTTCTTTGCTCTTATGATTATTGATATCTCTCCAAAGGTCATATAATACCAAATCATAAGCTACATTGAACTAATACACTTAAGCCACCTGGCAAAAGAAGCATACCAAAGGAAAAATCAACTTCACTTGATTTATATTTAAATGACTAAATTAACATTCCTCACAATGTAGTTTTCTGGTGGAAATCCTTATTAGTGGATAGGTTCTCCAGTGGTTCAATGAATAAGAGAAATTGAGAGTTAAAAGCAACCTCTAGAAACATATAGTGAAACCCCTATGAAAAAGGCATCCACACCATAACATACCTGGCATGTGGTTATCCAGTCTCTGTTTGAAGACTGACAATGAGAATACTAATCCCCACTCAAGGCAACCTATTCCACTCTTAGGTAGCTCTAATAGGAAGTTTTCCCTAACATCGAGCCTAAATTGGCCTCTTTGCAACTTCCATCCACTGCTCCTGGTTCTGTCCTCTAGGCCAAGACAGAAAAATCTCTGTCCTCCGTATAATATCCCATTAAATACTTGAAGGCAGAATATCCACTGTAAGCCTGCCCTTCCTATGCTAAATATCCCCAGTTCCGCTATAACAGTCCCTTCCCTGTTCCCCACTGCTAAAGGCCAGGTATGTCACATTTCACCCCTCCTCCAGGGTGCTCTAGTATTCTTAAGAGGATCTAGTCTCTTTTGTCTCAAACCATCACCAATTACGTTCCCCTAATTTTAAGGGATTCCTGAGAGCCCCTGTTCCACTTAATCACTTAACAGTCATATTAGATTTTCCAAAGGAATATTTACTTCAAAGATATAGAAAAAACAAACATTCCATCAACCCCAACACTTGAGAGAGAAACTCAATCTCCCTATACCCTCAAGGATAGGGAAATTAGGTTTACAGTTTAACTCAGTTCCTATGCAGTACAGTACTGCTAATTTTCAGTTCCAAAGCCCCCCTTGGCTTGTGTCCCATTACCCTGGATTTTCTGGATTTCCCTCTAATACCTGTCCT